GGAGATGTTTACACTTGACATTATATCACACAGGGGATGTTTACACCTGACATTATATCACACAGGAGATGTTTACACTTGACATTATATCACACAGGAGATGTTTACACCTGACATTATATCACACAGGAGATGTTTACACTTGACATTATATCACACAAGAGATGTTTACATCTGACATTATATCACACAGGAGATGTTTACACTTGACATTTTATCACACAGGAGATGTTTACACTTGACATTATATCACACAGGAGATGTTTACACCTGACATTATATCACACAGTTACACTTGACATTATATCACACAGGAGATGTGTACACCTGACATTGTATCACACAGGAGATGTTTACACCTGACATTATATCACACAGGAGATGTGTACACCTGACATGATATCACACAGGAGATGTTTACACCTGACATTATATCACACAAGAGATGTTTACACCTGACATTATATTACACCGGAGATGTTTACACCCGACATTATATCACACAGGAGATGTTTACACCTGACATTATATCAGCCAGGAGATGTTTACACCTAACATTATATCACACAGGAGATTTTTAAACATGCACATCATTATCATCATCTTCTTTGTCCTGTTGTATCATTAAATGCCACACCGGGCTCACAGTCTAGTCCCCCTATTTCATGCTAAACTGTGCAATCAATGCAACATCATGAATGGAATGCAGTCCAGTACCTTTGGCCTCTTTCTTCAACCTTCGATTTAGGATTTCTTTTATGCGTTCCGGATTGATCGATCCATTTATTTTATATTTTAGTTCACATACGTCATACAACATTAAATTACAGGGTTACATACAGAGGGCATTAAACTCCAAAAAACAACTTAAACAAACATTAAGTGTCACAAGACACGTGACATCAACAAACTGTATTAATCGGTTTTTTGTCAGGTTTATTTCTGAAAGCTTTCAAGCATAACAAATTCACAAGCAAGTTGATTTTGTCACTGTTATCGACAACAAAATATACTATACAACGGAACAAATTTACATCAGTTGGACACACACATCTGTAATCAGTAACAGCAGTGACGTCACTCCACCCGGGACACGCCAATAGGAGCGCTGTCTGAATCGGTTAATGTCTGGTTTTGAGCTTCTGTATCATAAAACATTAGATACTACAACAAATGTGTGGTATAAATTGTCAGTTAAAATCATCATATATCGTCATGTATGTTGCTTAACTCCACCAGCACTGTACAAAGAGCAGCCAACACTCAGTGACACAAAGTGCCACCATTCAGATAAGGATCGCCCGTGAACAAGTACCAGGAACCCCCTTCAACCATTAGATTGTATTAGGGCCACTGACTTGCTAGGCCTTCAAATAACGAAAAATTGCCTCTCACACGTGGACTAGCTATTCATACATCGTTAAAGGATCACATGGTTTTGTCACATGTTTATTTTAATATTTAATCAGATATGACATTTTTATATAGAATAAATAAAGACACGGTATTCCTTTGGATGTATGTCGTCCTTCGCGATGATAACCATGTCTTCAATGACAAAACATGATCTATAATGAAAGACGTGATAAGACACTGTTGAGCTTGTACAATAAGTGGAGTTCACAACAATAGCCAGATGACGTGTAAATGGAACTATGATTATTTTCCGATGTAATCTCAATGAAATTCCTAATTAAAATCAAAACAAATGTCTTTATGCACCACTTTACATAACTGCGACTCTTAATTTCACATTATTTGTATTATAATTTGTTTATGTGAGTAATTATTCTGTTGTGTACAATCATACTATGTACATATATGTACGACATATAAATATTACTGTAAAGATATGTATATATTTATTTCACATTGTATCTAAGGCTGGTACAATAAAAGTGTAAAACTTAATAGTCAATTATCAATCATTACAACGAACATGTCAATAAATAAATTATTTGAAATATATGCGTTTTGTTATCATCTGATATAGCTGAGAAGATAAACTGTTTTAATAAATATATGTCACAGACATGCCAACAATTACAACCTAAATTATTACATATAAATTACGGATTGTGGGGAAATTTAATATCAAAGGGTTAGAAAGTATCTGCAGGAAATATGTAAAACGTGTTGGAAACTGAAGTATATTAAAATTTTGAAAATCCAGAAGGGAATACGTAGACACCTTGTAGATAAAATCAGATATGCAGTTACAGAACAAACAAAAACAGAAGTGTAAGTCTTTCCCATTTAAAAAGAGATAATATCAAATAAATATTACCATCATTAACGTGTTTGTAGTTCTCATTTAAAATATATAAATATCGCGCATATGTATCCTTCGTATATAAATAAAAAAAAAAAAAAAATGGTAATCTCAGGAATATTTAACCCTGGTAACCCTCACACCTCACTCCTCTTCGCGATGGTAATCTTATGAATATTTAACGCTGTAAAAATAAACAATGTTAATCTCATGAATATTTAACGTTAGAAAAATTAACTATGTTAATCTCATGAATGTTTAACGTTGTACAACAAAGCAATGGTAATCTCATGAGTATTTTACGTTAGAAAAATAAACAATGGTAATCTCACGGATATTTAACTCTGTAAAAAAAATAACAAAAATTAAAAAAATGACGAATTTTTTAAAACTGTAAAAATAAACTTTTGTAATATCATGAATATTTAACGTCGTAAAAAAAAAAACTTGGTCGTCTTAATAATATTTATCTGTGTAAAAGTAAACGATGGTAACCTGGTGAAAATTTTAAAAAAAAATTTTAAACCCAAGGAGATTATTTTACGGTGTGAACAATATACAGGGTAATCTCATGCACATTCAAAATTGTAAAAAAAAAAAAAAAAATGGAATTCTCATAATTATTTAACGTTGTTAAAAAAAAAAGTGTTATTAATTTCGTAAATATTTAAGGTTGTTAAAAGAATTTTAAAAACATGATGATCTCTGGAAAATGTATAATTTGCATAGTACTAGTATGAAAATGAACCTCTTTCATTTGACGAAAGGCGCATAATAATAATAAATGTTAAGTAACAACAATGCACATATTTAAGAGTCATCGACATCAACATAATAAATCCATTGCTTCTTAACACGTAGGGCGTAAAAGGGAACCAGTTAGTAGGGCTGTCAAATTGTGTTTAAAAAACAAAACTGGAGTCCGTTCCTTGTTTGTTCATAACCTAGCCTTTCGCTACTAGAAAGGTTAGACAGTGTGCTCATAATCAACATAATCAATTTACTCTTTAGGAACAAAATCCGGGCCACTGAGGAAACTGGGGACAAAGAAGTATCCTGCAACACAACTCACAAGGGATATAGTACAATCGAATGTTTTGGACCGAATGGTGGTTATATGCGTCACAACCTTGCTGTAAATTGAACACTCAAAAAACAATGAACATTAAAGAAGGAGATTTAACCAGCATGAGAAATACACTGGAGTAGCGTCTGGTCGAGAGGTTACAATGTTAGGCATTCACGTGGGAGACCCGGGTTTGATCCCCTGTAAGATAATGGGTTTAGTTCCCGAAAATGTGTGTGCCTTGTAAAATACAGCTTGCATGTTTGATTGACATTTTTCTTTTATGGCATTGCAAATTATAAATTACACACAAACAAACATAAATATAAATAGGTATTTATACATATATAGATAAATTAATTAGATTAATATAATCTAAACGTCTGCGTTATCATGTTCACTTCGTTCAGTGTGTCTGGTATAATATTATCTTGTTTAAAAACCTCAATAATTCTGTTTATTTTATTTCATTCTACGCTTCAATATCCCCACTTAACTGCCACTTGTCCATGACTTTTGTCTACGGGATTCACATCTGAAGGATAAGACACCAATAAGGAAAACTTGGAGAAAACCACATTCACCGGAGACACCAAATGTTTACCAAACAATCAGCACTCTGTTGGTGGGTGGGAAATAACTTTCTATGTGTAGTAATAATTAAACTGAGGCTGGTATTTTCTTGACCATTGAAATGTTCAATATCCTAAGATCCACAAATCGATCCACAACTCATATATAACTGTGTTCGGTATAAATGTATTTTCGTGACAGTTTATTGATCAAAATCATTCTCTTATCTGGTTGTTTGTTTATTTGATGTTTTTTTTTTTTTTTTTTTTTTTCCCTAGGGTAATTTGTTTTTTATTTTTATTTTTTAAACCATCTGTTTTCGAACATTTCCGTTAGAAACGGGTGGAATATATTAAAGAGTCAGGCCTACTTCTGCCTTGAGTATTATGTTAATCTACAGTTACAAACACACATGAACTCCATGTCGATGTTAACAGTATGACAATATTAACACGTTTTGGCGTCACTCGCCGAGTTTAGCATCGGTTCACAAATGAACAAGTTTTGAACGTGTAGTATGAACATGGCTAACAGAGGCCATGTAAACTGAGGTAACCAAGGTATAATATTAAAGCCATTGAAATGCTCATGGACAAGACAGACTTACTCAAAATGGGATTGTTTGTACAAGGAAAGCAGTAAAATAACCTCTTGAAAGTAACCTCTGATGCAGCAAGCTATAATCCCGCAGAATGGAGACAGTTATTAATTATTTGACTCAGTGTCGGTAAATGATTGCATAGAACATCAAAGAATCTAAAGGGTTGATCATCCCTGCAGGACAGAATGAAACAAAAGCACCCAGCATCTAGAGCGTACTACATTACTACATGAGAACAACCGGGAACAAGGCCAACGATGAAACAAGAAATAGACGGTTGGAGAGAGTAAAAGAGACGCTACAGAAACCTAATATGATATTACCACAAACTAGGCTACTAGCAGAAGAAAGGAAACTATATCCAACTGCTCTCTACTATGCTCTACGGTACAAGCCGTAGGGGAAGAAGGAAGAAGAAGAACATTTTTGAACCTCTTTGGCATATCTGTTTGCGGTTTTCATACATATACATTTCAAACTTGTGTGGCTCAGTAATCGTTGACTGCGTTGTTGTTAGCTGACGGAGGGTCAGCTGCCGAGTTTGGAGATGGACCAGCACAGAAACAACCGACAGCCACCATCTCGACCTTCTTCACCATCAAAGCCATGTCATCTTGGCAACTGTGCAACTCAAAGTAGGTCACGGGTGCAGTCAGTGTCTGGCAGGAGTTCATGGCGGATCCAACACACTCGCTGCAGATACAGACAGCTTCAGGAACGTATCTGTTGGTAAAAAGACAATAATAGTTACAGTACAGAGGCCTTCATCATCATAAATTAATAATCAAACACTAACTAATATAACTCTAAATTCGAAGGCAGAAGTGTGGTGCTTTCGACGCCCTTATCTACCCGAGATCAAGTTTATGGCAAATGGCACAAGTTTTGAAAAGTAATTACGTGAATATGAACAGTAAAAGGCACTCTTCAAAAGAATATTCTTATTACCACTATGCTATCAGTGTCAAACATAGAGATTGTCTTCAGATAACTGAAAAAAAAAAAAAAAAAGTCACGATGGAAATTAAATAATAAAGTATTTTGCTAGATGTATCATGGAAAGATCCAGTTAGGAGCGATGATATGGCTTAATATGCTTCAGAAAATAGCAACAGGCAGTATGCGCTCTGAATGGATAGAAAGCATTCGGAAATCGCACTTAACTTCCGTAACCTGGATCTACACACCGGGTCATGCGGGCGTAAAGGGAAATGAGCGAGCGGACCAACTGGCAAGCACAGCACTAATGATTGCGGGAAAAAGCATGGACAGAGCAGATATCGTTAACGCTGTACGTACTGGGCTAGTGGATAATATCGAATCCCTGACACTAACACGATTGCGTGACATGGGAGTTAAGCATCGTGAAGCACGTCTTTGCCGTCTGCGAGGCCGAGAAAGGAGACAATATAACAGCTTCTCATGGGGACAATTAGTAGAAGTACTTTGGAGTGGCTGCTGCTTCGGAGGAACTGCGCACGCATGGGTATGCCCAATGTGCGTGACGTCGATTGGTGATAACAAAACACAAAATAACATTTTATAGGAAGTCGGCATTCTGAAACCCAAGTTCAGGTGTCTCCTTCGTGCCAAAAGAACCGCATGGCTGTTGGGTGAACAGTCGTTAACGAAGGCAGTCAGGTCGTTGTAGGGGCGGACGCCTGCTGGTGGATGTAATGTCCTAAGTCCCCTTTCCCAGCTAATAGTGAGGGTACTGCTGGGGTGACCATTTGTTTAAACCCTCACATAAATGCTTCAAGTCACAGTGGACACTAGGCACGACCACTTTTTTTTTTTTTTTTTTTTTTAAAGCCGTGGCAGTTCTGCCAGGCGGTGGCCGTTGCATTTTTGCTCCATTTGTAGACTGGAAGGATATAGTTTCGTCACCCAGCTTCTGAGTTGAGTGCATGGTGTGACACTGTGAGCTACGAGTGTTTTTCGTTGGCACAGGAGCGGAGCAACAATGGGGTGACCCGTTTGCTATGATGCTGAAACTAGGATTACCAGATTACCAGATTACCAGATGATATGGCCACGTAACACGCTTGGCATCTGACAGGGCACCACATAGATCTATGTTATGTATACACAACGGTAAAAAAGCCAGAGGTCAACCACGCCGAACATGGAACGCTGAAATATCGAGACACTAAAAATACTACTGTATATACATAAAGTGAGCAGAAGAACCCGTTGCAGTAGAGTTTTGTGGATAAATCCTGCACGTCGTCGCTGGAGCTGACGCGTTCATGCTTTGTGCCTCATCGATGACGAGGAAGAGGACAAGGTAGATAGCCTGAAGCCGATAATTTGCTTGGTAACAAAACAGCTGAAGACAATTGATGCAAGACAAACTGAATGTTACGATGATCCTTTGGGAGCATCTAAACAGTGCACAAGTACAAAACGTTTATGCTGGCCTGCAGAGTACTGTGCAACGTGCAGTGACCGTGAGATCTAGTTCAATAATCGAGAAAAGGAGCGAAATCGACAGATAGTCAAACTGTTACTGACACCCTCGGAAAGGGAACTCTTCGCTTGCTGTTGAAAATGGGAACGGAGCGTTTATGGTAATGTCTTTAGTGATGTAATGTCTATTCTTAACTCCTAACAGCTAATGACTTGATGTAACAGAAACAGACTTCAAAGACTTACCTGGGATATGCGTTAGGCCCCAGATCGCGGCGGGTCAGCTTCCATGGGCAGTTGGATCTCAGCCTCTCCTCGGTGCTGGAGGAGAGCACATTGGTGTTTGTGGGACACACTGGAGGCTCGTGGTCAGGAATCATGCTCTCAGAGGACTGCTGTGGCATGTGACCCAGGTACATGGTGCTGTTGAGACGTGAGATCATTTGCTTCAAATTGCGGGTCAAGTCATGGGTCATCTGGCACGCTTGTCGTTTATTTCTGATGAAAGGGTTGACACGATCCATTCCAGCGAAAACGCTAGGTGGAAGTCTAACGTTAATGTGATTGATGTCAGCCCCATTATACGACTCAGAACGGTTGTCCTCAGCTTCATCACTGCTGCCTTGATCTTCATTGGTCGGTGATTCTCGCTGGTTGCTGCGAGCACCGCTGACTAAGCTGGATAGTTCAGACAATGCCGAGTTGAGAAGATTACTGTTGCCAGAGTTCACGATACCAGGATAGCGCTTTGTGTTGTGGCCACCCCCGATAATGTGGGACACAGAAGTGTCTGGCAACACTGCAATTACTACAAGAGTCATCAATGTTGCCAAAGAAAACTGAGCCATTGAAATTCCTTTAGAGCTGTTGAAAAGGTTACCCAAAAATCGCTTTGGCAGTACTTTAGCAATAGAGTAAATACTTATCAAAAAGTGTTATATAGCTCAATTAAAGCTTGTGTAATCTGGAAAATGAATTCTTGAGAAATTGTTTTTTCTCCCTGTTTACAAATAAATTATATGAACTGTGAAAGTAATCGTTGTATATAGTTGATACTCTCAATGTTTCGTGTGCTACTTTGTATCACTACTTTGTATCTCTATGCGTTGAATTGACTTTACAATGTGGAAACCTCCAAATTTATAGTAGCTTCGGCACTCGAGATGTGACGTAACGAAAATAGGAAAACCGGCGAGCACTATTTTGATTGGCTGGTATGAGAGGGGGTTTACCGTTGTCTGAGCAACCCTGACCCGGAAAGTACACCTAAGTTAACTAAATATAAATGCTAGGCAATTTTTTTTTGTCCAATGTCTCAGTCGACAGTGTCTATAAGGATGCGTTTGTGAATGGCCTACCCCTAACCTCACAGTTTACGCCAGCTGAGAAATCAGAGCGTGTCATCCGGAACTGGACACGTGTACATGTAGGTGTGTGAAAAGGATGTGAGAGGGATAGAGAGAAGCGAGCGGAAAATAAGGAGTGTTTGAATTTTGGGGATGCTGCAAATGTCTCTGCACCAAACGTGTTGATGGGGTCTGCGAAACAACTGTAATTTCGACTTTTAGACTATGTATATAGTGGATGAAAGCTATGGCAAACTACTAAACGTAAATTTACCTAGAGGAAACCACACAACAGCTAGGTGCTGCTGGGTTGGTTCTGCAACGTCCTGTAAAGGATACGCAACTAGCCTAGATATAGTGGATTCCATATGGTATTGGTTTCTTCTCCTTCTTCTTTGTTTTTGTCTTCTCTCCTTTACCCTGATCATCGCAGCATCCCTCTTTTCCTTGTCTTCCACCCTCCATTCTTCCTCTTCTTTTTTTTTTCTTCTTTCTTCTTCGTCTTCTTCTTCTTCTTCTTTTCTTCTTTTCTTCTTCTTCTTCTTTTTCTACTTCTTCTTCTTTTTCTTCTTCTTCTTCTTCTTCTTCTCTTCTTCTTCTTCTTCTTCTTCTTCTTCTTCTTCTTCTTCTTTCTTCTTCTTCTTCTTCTTCTTCTTCTTCTTCTCTTCTTCTTCTTCCTCTTCTTATTCTTTCTCTTCTTCTTTCTTTTCTTCTTCTTCTTCTTCTTCCTCTTCTTCTTCTTCTTCTTCTTCTTCTTCTTCTTCTTCTTCTTCTTCTTCTTCTTCTTCTTCTTCTTCTTCTTCTTCTTCTTCTTCTTCTTTCTTTTTCTTCTCTTCTTCTTCTTTTCTTCTCTTTCTTCTTCTCTTCTTCTTCTTCTTCTTCTTCTTCTTCTTCTTCTTCTTCTTCTTCTTCTTCTTCTTCTTCTTCTTCTTCTTCTTCTTCTTCTTCTTCTTCTTCTTCTTCTTCTTCTTCTTCTTCTTCTTCTTCTTCTTTTCTTCGTCTTCTTCTGTTGGGACGGAAAGGTGCAGAGATCGCAGCCTGGATGTAAAACACAATTTAGCGGACCAACTGTCCTTTTGTTGTCGAACGCAGAGAAAGGATATTACAAACATAGGTTCAGATAAAAATCGGTAGGTGATTTGGTGGGCAACATCTCTGCCTTTACCTTCCATGACCTTCCCTGCTACCTATCAGACTGGTTTGACCCGGGAGATAAGGTCAGTTTTGAAGGAAAAAACAGATCCTTCAGTGTGGATTCCAACCCGATATCTTTCAGCTGGCAGGCGACAACACAGACGCTAGGCCACCGCTGGGCACTCAGAGGCTGAGTCAACGACTCCTTTCCACGCCTTCAGAGTAACAGGGCATATAGGGCTAAACTTATATTTTATAAACTGTTCGACACTCACTGTGTGATTTTGTCAACATTACGTCGGACGCCTTAACTTCCCATGACTTTACCTGGTACTCAACTAAGGTTGGCTCGATCTGGGAGCGAAAATCATTTACAGAAAAAAAAAAAACGTCCGGCTAGATGAGGTTCTGAACCCACGTCAGTCGTGTTCTCCACAACCTTCTGTCCGGCCTACTTTCACATGACTGATACAGATGATGCTCCATTCCATAAAGTGAGACTCCAATATCTTGTCTCTCGGTCTCCCTCTGACTCTCTTCCCTTCAACTTTCCTGCTGTTACTATATACTCCAGTTTTCTTCTTCTCACCACACGATCAAGGACTGTAGCCTCTTTTTGATGTGGGCAATCAGTTCTCTTCGTGGGTCAGTTTCTTTTATAACATCTTGCATTGTTCATTCATATCTGTCCATGGTATTCTCTTTGCTTGTCTGTGAAACCACACCTCCAACAGCTTCCAAATATATTTACTCTAATCTACCAACTGTCCATGATTCACAACCTTGTATCAAGATAGGATGTGTAAAGCTTTAAAGAACTCTCTCTCTCTCTCTCTCTCTCTCTCTCTCTCTATCTCTCTCTTTCTCTTTCTCTCTCTCTCTCTCTCTCTCTCTCTCTCTCTCTCTTGTCTAAATTGACAAGGAAAGATTGCGTAAATATTCTTCATGTTGTAAAATGTTGCCTTCGCTTTCTTCAAGTGATGATGAAAGGGGCACTAGAGAATATCGTGACGACTGGAAAGATCCTTGGTAGAAGAGGCAGAGGCAGACAAAGAGAACTGATGGTGGATGGCTCAAGACAGTGGCATGGAGGAATTCAATCAGTGGAATTGATTTAGAACACCAAAGTTCAGATCTGTGGATATGCATGAACGCCTACGCCAACTGGCGAGACACTTGATGCTAATGATAAGGATGCCTCTGCACTATCTATTCTACATTAAACTTCTTTAACTCCTTGAGTTCGTTAGGCCTGCCACAATCTTTTTTTTTTTTTTGGGTTAACATTGAAACCGATAGAAAGTGTATCTGTAATTCCCGTTGTATGTAAACAAATCAGTATCTATTCTCTAAAACGACTGTCACAATTCCGGGCCCAGTCAAAACTATTTCGCCAACTTTGTCATAATAAACTGGTGTCTGTCGTAGGATATTCAAAACCTGTTTACCTTCCATTCTTTTGTGTGTATTCAGATGGAAATGCACGAACATGTGAGAATTATCTCTTCCCTTGTATGTCTATATTTGCTTCGGGGCATTCCCATAAACGTTTCGTCCCTGTTTGGAGCAGCCAGCGAGATTTCAGTGGGTTGGAAATAACAATCGGAAAGAACATGTGAGAATTCTTGCCCCAGTCTTCCTTCATTCACGGATCTATATGTTCTGCCCGGCTGAGTCTCAGGGTGAATGCTGGGGAAATGTTCAATGTTGAATTATAAATTGACACCACGGCACTCGAGGCATTCACGTAAGTGATCTATTCCCATCGTCATTAGCCAACAAGAGTTGACTACGATGTAAATAACAGTAATAAAGAATAAGTGGGAATTTTCGCCACAGTCTTCGTTCGTGTATCTATGTTTAATCCCTGGTGTGTCCCGGCTGACATGCAAGGAAGTTGAATGTTGAATTAGAGGATGACATCGCAGTCCTCGGTACAGTCCCATAAGCGATCCGTCGACATTTCCAACAGCCAGCAAGAGTTCAGTAGGCTAGAAATAACAGTAATGGATGATGGAGTTCCTTGAAGATGAAGCACAGGTCGACCATTACGGTAGCGAAAACATGAAATGAAGAACAACAGTACGTTGAGAGATTTGTGTCCACATTCAAACAATTATATCTCAGCTTGTAGTGAAATTTAAATGACAAAATTATAAATTATTCTTTAATTTATTCTTAACGTTATGTCAGATATTCACCGCGATCGAAACCAACTGCTGGCTGCGTAGATTTTAATTTTTTTACAGGGCGTAGCAGGTCGACCTAACCTAAAATGGGTACCAGGATGGCTGTCCCGTGGAAGTAAAGACGGCCAGCGTAATGCTGACCACATTACCCACCTAGTGTCGATGGTCTGTAAAAATAATGGCGCTCTTCCCATATACCCGATACGCCTAAATGAGTGATAACGGATCTTTACTTTTTTTTATGTAAGATATCCCCCCCCCCCCCAACCCCCCCCCACCCCCTCCCGCATAACAAGCATTAGAATGCATTTTCGCTTTTTTTTTTTTTTCAGATAATTCAATAAACGGTTAGTTCGACATTAGTCTCCCCAAATAGAGTAGGTCAGTTTACATTAACAAGTTTGTTGGGCTGGTCAACTTTCCTGAAGGTTGCGGGTGTGTTGCGCTCTGTTATATGGTTTCTGTGATGTCTTGCGTTTACGTTTTCATTTCAAGTGAGAGAAGGCCTGTGACACAGGCTGCTGCACTCTCTAGGTGGGGTGTGTTAGACCCAGTTTCTCCAGGTTTTTTGAGTCTCAAATGCGCTGGCGTGCTGAAATATACAACATGGGATATCAACGGCATTGCAGAACACCCCGTAACTATGTGCGAAGGGCACGGGGCTCAGGAACTACAAATCATAAGTGACCTTGTGTGTATATGGGAGGGGTCTGTGGAGACTAACGTCGAACGAACCCAATATACTATGATCCCTGCTTGACTGCCTTTTAAGAGTATTGCAGTAATATATTTAACCAATAGATTTTTCAGAAAAGACTTGAATCCCATGTCGTGCATAAAATTTGAAAACGACCTCGACTCTTGCGCTCAGTGTCGACACGCTCTGTAATATCCGTGTTTTGGTCAAAAGTTGCAAAGGCGTCATTTGTTTGGCTAGTTCGTGTAATATCACAATAGCGTTGACAGTTTTTTTTCCTCAGGCTAAGAAGTTTGACAATACAGTTGTATAATTATTTCTCATTTAAGGGTAAAGAGGAAAGAGCAAAACATGCTCTATGTATTATCGAATGAACTTTCTTAAAATGGGCTAGAAAAAGTCCATTATTTCTGCATTTACAATTAGAAGTAACTAAGATTTACCCCACCAGGACATCTCACACATCAATAAACACCTAATGA